TGATGATTTGCATGTGATTTATATAACATGATTTTAGTGTATTCTGAAATATGAAAAGGGGAATAAGTCTAAAATAGTCCCAAAAATAAATATATCTGTATTGACATGAATAATGCATCAAGTGTCTCGTTAGACTTTTTATCTCTTAAGAGTTTATGTTTCTACCTCTCCTATTTGGTCTAGAAAGACGTGAGAGGAACACTCCCTATGGATGACGATGTACTCTCTGACGAGAATGGTGACGTGAATATCTATTAGAGGTCACCTTTGACTAAGTATTGTCGTGCCTATAAAATATTTAATAGGACTACTGTGGCTGGTACAGTTGTGGTCATAGATCATACCGTAGTTTGGCAAGTCGAAAATGTGTCGTAAATAAATTGTCGTTATATATCTGATCTTGTCATTCCACATGAGTAATCAGAAATCCATATCTACCCTCAGTAGATGAAAGTCGGAGCGACTTCGCGAAGCATGAAACGAAAATCTGAGCATTGCATAATTTCTTTAATTTTATCTATTATCAAGCATAATTTGATTTTGATTGATCTGACTATGGTATGAGAGATCTGATATTTTTTTTAATAAATAAAATTATTTTCATGAAGTAAGAAATGACTCTAACATGACCCGATGGTAAGTGTTGATGACATAATTATTCACTTTTAAAATCTTATAATGTTATTTAAATACTATTTTCTTTTTGAGTATATAGAACTCACCCCTTTTCATGTTTTTCTCCCTCAAATGAGGAAGATAGTGAGGAATCGATCATTAACCTATCCCTTGAAGTGTATGAAGATTTCGTGGATCCACAAACCTTGAGTGCATGACTAGTCCCGCACTTTGATGAGTCCATTCGCATAGTGAAAACAGTGATTCTTTTTGTATTTTGATATTTTGTATATTATTGTCACTTCTGGTCTCAGTTATATATGGGTAATTGGAACTCATATATTTTGGTAAGAAATTTGTAATAATTTGCTCCGCTGCATAAAATTTTTATAATGCACTCGTAATCTGTTTCTGTGTCTGACACTTTTATGTCTTATTCAACATTTGGGATGTCATAATAAATATGGGCTCTGTTTTTCAAATTGATCAAAATGACAAATAACTACTAGTAATGTAGTTGCATAATATTTATCTGATCTATATAAAGTAAGATCGCAAATAGGTTATTTGCTTACATATTGCAGTATTGCAATATTAGGACAATCTAAAAAAAAAGACAATAGTTACTACTTCTTCAACTCATCAAAAATACTAACTATACATGAGGCAACTCAAGAATGTGTATGACCAAAATTAATGATTCAGCATATTCAAGAAACATATGATTTACCTTTTAAAAGAAATGTGTCAACAATACTTTACAAAAATAATGTTGCATGCATAACTCGGTTGAGAGAATGATACATCAAAGAAGACAAGATAAACATATTTTACCCAAGTTATTTTTTACGCATGATCTTCAAAAGAGTTTGTGATGTTAAAATTCAATAAATTTATTCAAGTGATAAATTACCTACTGTCACATTTGATAAATCAGTATACAACATTGAAATATGTAAATAAAGTGATATTTCTATCAAAAAGAGTTATTACATGTCCTATTTTTTCCTTTATCAAAGTTTTATTCCATTCGTTTTTCCTAACAAGGTTTCTAACAACTCAATATTTTCTACTTCAAAATGGACATCCAAGTGAGAGCATTATGAAATTGTTATCATTTATTGTTTTATGTATGAATGTCCATTAATATAATTTAATTTAATTTATTATATCCCTTTAATTTAACTTCCACATTAATTCATGGTGTCTTGTATCCCTATAAATAGAGATTACAAAAAATTTGAAAGATAGAATAAATGAGATAAAAGAATTTTCAGTTTAGTTCGTATTCAATTTTTATAACTTTCATTGTTATTACTGTAATTATATTCTTGCTTAAAAGTTTCATAACATTATCCATTTAGATTTTAAAACTTTAATGATATTGAAGCTTTGAATTTAAAACCAAGTTTTCTGTCCTCTCATATATTACAGGGGTTATAATTATATGAAATTCCTGATTTGTACCATATGCCATATGTTCGAGTTATTCAATTATGTTATGTATTAATTTTTAATCCAATTTAAATGATGAAAAAAATTTGTATACATTTTTCATCACTATATAATTCATTAAAAATTTTAATAAAATTATAATTCATATATAATATAGAAGAAAAAATCTAGTTTTATAAAAACTAATTATCTGTTTGTTTAAGTTTTAATTTTTTTAGTTTTCATTCTTACAATTTCTCCAGATTAGAAACAAATTTTGGTTCGGAAAAATTCAAAAAGTACCACAATAATTAAATCTCCTCCGAAACTCTGGGAGATTATTCTTTCTCTAACGGTTCTGAAATTTTCTATAATATCTAGTACAGTTTTTTTGCAAATTTCAACTATAGTAGTTTCTTCCTAGTAATTTTAATTGCAGCTCCGTGTGATCGTTGCTTTAACAGAGATTCTGCATGGACACATGATTGTTATTTTCTCTACGAAAGATTTGCACTGGTGTAGAGGAATGACTGTTTTTTGGAATGCATTTACTATGTAACGTTGAAAAGAAGAGTCAATTTTCATTTGAATCAATTGAAACTCAGGATAGGAACCTGCTTGAACATGGAAAAATAACTATTTCAATCAATTTAGGCCTGTATGTTCTACCGTCTCAAGCTCAAAGTTTTCCAATCTACGCATTTCCACTCTGTACGTTGATATAGCTATATGATACATTACAAGGTGAATAAAAACCACTCCACTCTAATTGAAGAACATTTCCCGCCCAAGGAAAAACACCTATAATCTTGTAAATTATACTGTATGGGACCAAAAGGAAAGGAAACAAAAAGAAGAACTAAATACTTACGGAAGAAACTTCAAGAACCACTGCTTTGGATTTGATCTCGTTCAGGGCCACAATTCTCTTCATCGCCATTCTCTGGCTCGTCAACAGCAGAAGCCAAATCTCGATTCCCATTAACTTGTCCTTCACTTTCCCCAGTAGGTTGAGGTTGGACTTGCGATGTTGAACTTGCATGTTTTTCAGAAATCAAGCTTGTAAAGCCATTCTGCTTCAG